TTGACCAAGCTTTGATAAGGTGGGGGGGAAGGTATCTTCCTGTGTTCTATCGAAAGAGCCATTAGCATATTGCACATTTGGTGAGTAGCGGCAAGGCCCATCCTCTTGAGTCTTGACCAGAAGAGAGCTCACGTGAAGCATCACTGAACTCTTAAGACAATGCGATGGCCCTACACAAAGCTTGATTGCATGTCAATGTCATGTCAGCCTCCCAGAGCAGAAAGAACAGTCTCTCAAAAGAGTAAGAAGTACCAAAAACTCTCGCAATATTTCTCCTCTTCCTCTCTCTCTCTGAATACAAATCAGAAGTCAGCACCTTATCTTCTCCTCCTCTCTCGATAGAAATCAGAAAGTCAGCACCCCATCTGCTTCTCTTCTCCCGCTTAAAATCACAAGGGAGCACCCTGCTAGAAACCGGGTCCAGCGTCCCTTGACTCTCCTATGCCTTCCTGCCCCTAGGTCGACGCTAACAAGGATGTAACCGATGTTGCAGGCTGTCTCAGGATCCTTCATCCATAATGGAAGGAAGCGTGGTGTGTATCATTGATGAAAGGAACGCTGGACCCGGTTTCCTGCACATATAATAGAGTAGCGTTTTCTATAAAAACAAAGAAGAAGAAGAAGAAGACGAAGAAGAAGAAGACGACGAAGAAGAAGAAGAAGACGAGGAAGGGAGCACCCTCTGCGCTCATCCAGTCTCAACAAAAAACAGAACTCGGCACCATCCGATGACGAAGAAGAAGACGAGGAAAGGAGCACCCTCTGTGCTGCTCCTGTCTCAACAAAAAAACAGAACTCAGCACCATTTCTGCTCCTCCTTGTCCTCCTCGATTGCACGACGCGTACTGCTGCTCTATGTGCGATTCCTGCTCTTATTGGTTGTCGAACTTGCGGGTTTGAGAACCGGCTTGTTGCTATTTTCGTTTGAGGGTCGGATCATCTTGTATGTGATTGACATTTCCGCAATTAAGGGTCGACGTTTCTTTTGACTGCGTAGGGAGAGACAGGTAAGGTGTGAGGACACTGCGGCGTGAACTCTGAATTTTCAATTTTGTTCAACTTGTTAAGCCACAGAATGGAGATGGTTGGAAGGAAAAACAAATATGATGAGTGGTGACTTGACTCACATCCCTTCTGTATGTGAGAGGCGGGCCTCCCCACGACTTGTTATGACCAGTCGGCCGCCAAAACCCAGAGGATATTATCAACTTATAAGTTATAACTTATAATATCAACCTATTAAGGACGACAGGGGAAGTGCAGCACACAGTGTTCTGCTTGCAATGCACACAGTTATTAACTTATTACTAATTTCACACTCCCCTCATTTCAACTGTTTTGTTTGATTTCCACGTACTTTTTGTTTTGCAGTATTCGGGTCTTCAGGAATGGCATTCATTTTATGTGAAATCAGATAAGTACAGGTGAGAACCTCTTCTCTTCTCCGCGCCCCATGCTGTTGATAGTACTTGAAAGTTGATACCCACTAGGATGCATGGAATATTCTGAAAAGAAGTGAAAGAAAGCACTACAGTGACTATGCCCTTGTCGGCCTTAATTAAGGGGGAAAGTTTTTTTTTGGGGGGGGGGGGGTTGGAGATTGAAAACTTTTTCACACATACCACCTGTGCAGCTATAATGACCTTGCCTCTACCAATTGTGAGATATGCGGACATATGCAGCATGTGGCGGAACGTCTTCGTCAGTTTGGTCATCCCGTTTATCATGCGGCATGTGGCGGAACATCTTTGGTCATCCCGTTTATGATGCGGCATGTGGCGGAACATCTTCGTCAGTTTGGTCATCCCGTTTATGATATGGGTCATAGGGAGGAGCGCTGGTACTACCCTGCAATAGCTGGGGTGCATTGCTTAGTTCGTCAGCCGGTTAGGGTTTTATTTAAAAGGGGGGATGGCCTTGAGATATCATCATTGAACTGACTGGCCCCAGGTTATTCACAATTACTTTATTCTGTTCAACTACTTGCATCTAGGTTCGAACTTGGGTCTGCATTTGGACAGTTCGTGCCTGCACCAATTGAGCGAGGCTCGTCGGTACACATCACCCTGCGATGAACTTGGAGATTCTCAGTGGGTTTTACAAGTAACAGGGTCAGTTTTGTAAATCTTTTTCTCGTTTTTAGGTCCTAACTGGTAACTGTAACAGGCCCAGTTCGTACAGGGACATTTTTGTAAAGTTGACATCGTCATGCAAGGGAATAGCCGTGCTGTAGCTGGAGGTCGTGGCAGAGCAGGAAGGCAGCGCTGAGCATCTGCACCGAGCGCTGCCATCCCTTCTTCATGGCAGCAGATATTCTGCATCTTCTTTGAGTTGCGACATCTCTCCTCCCTTTGGCTCAGGTAGGTGCTGGCGCAGTACTTCCGGGTTGGGCGCTGATCAGGAGGCTCTGGTGGTCTGCAGCTACGGGGTAGCCCCATAGCCAGGGGGTACAGCGCCCAAGCCGGAGGTACAGCTACGGGCTGTGGTAGCCCCATAACCGATTTCTGTGTAGGTTCCGAGTTTGGTGCTTTTAGAGCGAGAAAGGGGCGCTGGTGGTGTGCAGCTATGGGCTGTGGCAGCACCATAGCCAGGGGACCGTAGAGGTGACGGTGGAGGAAGGAGAAGACTCCTGTTGATCCGATGACGTTTCGTTTGAGTTTTTGAGTTTTGTTCGGGGTTGTTTAAACACGGTTGGGATTCTTGCGGAATTCTGTGTGTGCGATTGAATTGGAGGAGAAAGAGGGACAACAGATTTGAATTCATTTCTATTTTTGAGTTGAGCTTCCGCTGTGTACTACTCTCCGGTTTTGTGTGGATTTGCCTCCTCCATGTCTGCTTTGTCATTGCATGCGTGTATGGAAACGTGTGGATGCGGTTTGCCTCGCTCAGTCTGGTTTGTTATGTAACTGGATGCAATTTCAATCAGTTACATAACCAACCGGTTAGGGTTATTTTTAACTGAGTACGGACGCCGACCGGCCGGGTGGGCCTGGGTGGGCTGCCCAGGCAAACCGGGCGGGCAAAAAAACAGCCCAGAAATTTTTATATTTTTGTTTTGAAGCTGGGGTCCTCCTGTGCTCGGCGAAAGGACCCCGAATCTGCAATAAAATTCTGGTTTGGCGGGGGGACGAGTTGCCTGGGTGTGAGGAGGAGGGAGGGGGGGGGGGGGGGGGGGGGGGGGGTTGGGGGGGGGGGGGGAGGGGGAGTTAGGTGGGAATCTGGGGGGGGGGGCTGGTGGGGGGGGGGGGGGGGGGGGGGGGGGGGGGGGGGGGGGGAGGTTGGTTGTTTCCGGGTGTTGGGGACTCTACATGTATGTTGCCTGCTGTTTGCTGCATGTATGATACCAAGTACATACTATGGCGAGGGAGGGACGGAGGGAAGGATGGCAAGATGGCGAGGGAGGGACACAGGGACTATGGCGAGATGGCGAGATGGTAGGGAGGGAGGGATGGCGAGATACTATGGCGAGGTGTGGATATGGGAGGGAGGGAGGGATGGCGAGATGGCAAGGGAGGGAGGGAATATGGCGAGATGTGGAGATGGGATGGACTATGGCGAGATGGGAGGGAAGGAGGGATGGCGAGGGAGGGAGGGACTATGGTGAGATGGGAGGGAGGGAGGGAGGTACTATGGAAGATGAGGGGGAGGCGGAGGAGGAGAGAAGTACAATAAGTAACAGAAGAAGAAGATGAGGAGAGTAGGGGGAAGTACAAGAAGTAACAGAAGAAGAAGAAGAAGAAGAAGATGTGCTATGCCGTCGTTAGGGTATGGCGGCAGGGTACGGTGGCGGGGTATGGCGGCGGGGTACGGCGGAGGGAAGTAGTAGGAGAGAAGAAGAAGAAGAAGAAGAAGAAGAAGAAGAAGAAGAAGAGGAAGATGACGAGCGGAGCAGTTTTTTTTTTTTTTTTTTCCCCTTACCTGTCGTTTATCTCGTGACCTATCGCTAACGAATTTAAAAAAGAAGAAGAAGAAGAAGAAGATCGTCGGAAGAGGAGGAGGAGAGAAGAATAAGAAGAAGAAGATGAGGGGGAGGACGACGACGAGAGATGAAGAAGAAGAAGAAGAATAAGATGGGCGGAAGAGGAGGAGGAGGAGAGAAGAGAAAGAAGAAGAAGATGAGTTGGAGGCGGAGGAGGAGAGAAGAAGAAGACGAAGATGTACTATGCCGGCGTTAGGGTAAGGCGGCGGCGTGGGGGTATGGCGGCGGGGTATGGCGGCGGGGTACGGCGGAGGGAAGAGTAGTAGGAGAGAAGAAGAAGAAGAAAAATATGAGGGGGAGGAGGAGGAGGAGAGAAGAAAAAGAAGAAGAAGATGATAGGGGGAGGAGCAGCAGTGAAGAACTCGAAGAAGAAGAAAAGCAGAACTATAAGAAGAAGAAGAAGAAGAAGAAGAAGAAGAAGAAGAAGAAGAAGAAGATGATGAGAGGGGGAGGAGGATGAGGAGACTAGAGGCAGAAGAATGATTGGAGAAGGAGCAGGAGAGAAGAAGAAGAAGAAGAAGAAGAAGAAGAAGAAGAAGAAGAAGAAGAAGAAGAAGATAACAAGCGGAGCAGTTTTATTTTTCCCCCCCCTTACCTGTCGTTTATCTCGCGACCTATTGCTAACGAATGTAAAAAAAAAGAAGAAAAAGAAGATAGTCGGAAGAGGAGGAGGAGAGAAGAATAAGAATAAGAAGATGAGGGGGAGGACGGCGACGAGAGATGAAGAAGAAGAAGAAGAAGAAGATTAAGATGAGAGGGGGAGGAGGAGGAGGAGTGAAGAAGTCGTGGAAGAAAAGCAGAAGAAGTATAGGAGGAGGAGGAAGAAGAAGAAGGAGAAGAAGAAGAAGAAGAAGAAGAAGAAGAAGAAGAAGAAGAGAGGGGGAGGAGGAGGACGAGAGAAGAAGAAGCAGAAGAATGAGCGGAGGAGGAGGAGGGAAGAAGAAGAAGAAGAAGAAGAAGAAGAAGAAGAAGAAGAAGAAGAAGACCAGCACTCCACGTCTGAAGAACAAGAAGAAGAAGATCGGCACTCCACGTCGACGGGCGGCAGGGGATGTCGGCAGGCAGGAGCACCACGATCGACGACGCTGGCGACGGGCGACGGGCGACGAGCGACACGAAGACGACGGGTGAGTGAAGCTCCCAGGCGATGGTGACGAGGGCAGCTACTTCGACGAGGGGCAGCAGCACGAACGCAGGCGGCTGGAGCAGCTATCGAGGCCCCGTTTGGACAGCCAATGCAGGCCGCCCCAGCCAGTCGCTAGTTCAAAAGGGGCCTTCGTTTCCCTCCAAAAACAAATGATCGACGGCGAGAGGGCCGTCCCAAATTCAAAAAAAAAAAAACAAGCCTCACAGGCCCGACGCGCCGTTTTCTCGGCGTGGTCGGACTCGGTAGGCCCTGGGGAGGCCAAAACCACCCGATGTGGGGTCGGAAACCCCCCGCCAACAAGGTGTGCTGGGGGTGCCCGGCCCCCAACCGGGCCGCCCGCCCGGCCAGGCCGCCCCGGGACCTCCCCCGGGCGGGCACCGGTCGGCCGGGCGGCCCGGATCCGTACTCAAATTTTTCACTTATTTGTCAGCGTTTTGATCAGAGATAGCGTTTTGGGTGCTGCAGCTTTGCTTGCACCAGCTGCGTAAAAGGGCAATAGGACAGTGAGGTGCAGAGGTTGTAGAAGGGAGAACTGGTAAGGGGTGTGAATACTGTCAGAGAGTGGACGTGCGGTTTCGGCCATTACAGGCCCTCGCCGCACCAAGCACTGAATTTGCAAAATGAGAATGAATCTCCCGCCAGAACGAGGAGAGATACACCTCCCGGACTCTTGCCTTTTCCGCATTTGGTGAGTTGTGCGGCAAGGCCTTATAACTGTCAGCCTGTGTCAGGGATCATCATGTTCTGCCAATTCTCCCTCCTCCGCTTCTTTTCTTTTCTACTATCTCCCTTTCCAACCATTTTGGGAGGATCGTTCCTATTTTCTTCTTCTTCTTCTTCTTCTTCTTCTTCTTCTTCTTCTTCTTCTTCTTCTTCTTTTATTTTGGCCCCGGATCATTCATCGGTCAGTCGCTCCCGTGAAAGTAGAGAGGTCTATCGCCTAATCACGGCTGAAGGCTTTAGCAGCCCCAAAGGATGGGGTAGACTAGGTACACCATACTGTTCAGTTCGACATCTCCAAGAATGAGTGATGGCTAGCGTTTCCCCTGAACATAACCAGAAATATAGCTTTTGTACATTCGTGCGGCTGGCGGTATACGCTCCCGTGGAACCTGCGGGCATTTGATGAGTACCGTTTGACTGACCGGGTATAATGTACCAGTGGGGGGTCATGTGCTGATTGGAGTTAATTGTGCGAGAATTGCCACGTTCGTGTGGTGTTGTGTGTGGTGTTGTATTGAGTTGGACACCATAGCGTTGCAGGGGTGGGTTGGATATCATGACCGGTATGGTTCTGC